CAACTGCCACAGCACTCGGGCGTGTGACAGGTAATCTGCATACACGCCTGCTGAGCTCTGTGACCATTGCACTGTCACAGCAGCCAGGTTCCTTGAGGGCTGGCGCTGTGCTCTACTAGCCTCCGGATTCCTCCCACTGCCGTGCCTGGGGGCTCAGAGGCGCGCAGGAGTTGGTGGGAGGGAAGAAAAGGCGGCGGGGAGAACGAGAAACTGGGCGGCACTGTGGCTCCCACAGCGGCCTGGCCCACGGAGAGGGAGGCCCGAGAAGACCCTGCTGCTGGGATCAGGCTTGCCCGATGCCCGCCGCTCTCTCGCGCTGCCTAATTCAAATGTGAGCGGGGGAATCCTTTCCTGCCCTTGACCTCGGACTGCCTAGCGCCTTTTCCTGCCTCGACGGCACACTGAGGCACTGCAATGTCAAGAAAGTACGCTTGGTTACAGGAGCACCCATGGGATCGCATGAAACCGACGATGCTGGAAGGCCACGTCCACACCCGCAGGAGTCTTGCTTCCAGAAGACGAGTGGTAACTGCATGCGGTGTTGCCCACAAAGGTGATTTCCAGAATATCATGGTCATAAAAAAAGGAAGCACCAGCAGGTCTTTAAAGCAGGGTGAATGAGGCTTTGTGGGGGCCCCTGGGTGAGAGGAAGGGGTCCTCTCTTCCCTCAGTAAAGGACAAGACAGGGCAGCTCTGAAACACACAGTCCACACTCCACGTCTCCACCGCCAGGCACTCCACTCACGAGTGACTCCTTCCCATCGGGTCCATGGACAAGTCCGGCCGGCTACTAATGAAACGGTCTTCTCGACAGAAAACAAGCATTAACTGGTGACGTTTCGGGAGAACGTCACTGCAGCCTAAGGACACCGCAAAGACGGCACAGTGGAAGTCCTGAAGGCCCCTCCTAGCGTGAAATCACTCACAAAACAGACCACGTGCCGCAAGTAACGAAGCACTTTTTTTTTAAGAAAAGGCAGCAAACCGAAAAAAGGGACAAAACTCCTATTGCGTTAAGTGAAAACTCTTAATTCAGTGGCACCGCGGGCAGACGGCTAGCCCCTATTTTTAACCCCTGTAATCACCCAAACAAGAATAGCACAGAAAACTGTGTATCCTTTCTACAGACAGACATGTGGCTTTCGGTGACTCCAGCGAACCAAATTCCCGTCTTCCCAAACAGATACATGGAGAGGAGATTAATAGCTTAAAGGGTTAATTACTATGTTCCTTAGAACTGGAGTTTCCTGGGGCGCCTGGGTGGCTTAGTCGGTTAAGCGTCCGACTTTCGCTTAGGTCATGATCTCGCGGTTCGTGGGTTCGAGCCCCGCGTCGGGCTCTGTGCTGACTTGCCAGCTCAGAGCCTGGAGCCTGTTTCAGAGTCTGTGACTCCCTCTCTCTCTGACCCTCCCCTGCTCACCCTGTCTCTCTCTCTCTCTCTCTCCTAGAAATAAATAAAAATATTAAAAAAAAAAAAAAAACTGGAGTTTCCTTCCAAGGCATTTAACATGGGATGTATGTCTCGTAAGTAACAATTTTACGTAAGTAACAATTTTACACCGCGCTTTTCGCCTTTTCATCAAGCCGCATACACCTACTCAAGGCACTCGCCAAATTCCACTGATTTCAGACTCCCCAAATGAAAGTCTCTGCCAGAGACTGGGACATACAGAAGGCCGCCTCCACACAGCACTCAAAAGATCAACTGGATGTTCCAGACACGAGTTCTGCTCCCGCCAACTTCATTAAGGAAAACATCAAATGAATCTGATACGGTGGAGATGTTGCAAGTACAGCAGAGTTATGAATATGCGCAACGACAGCAAAATGCTGCTTAAGTCTCCACCCGACACTCTGGTCCTTAGACCTGAGATCAAGTATACGCCCGTGCGACTAACGCTCCGGAGAAAACGAAAATACAAGAACTTCCACTTTGGAATCTACGCCTTCAGAGATCTCCGTTTCTTATACACGCCTGCTAAGAGAACGTTCCTCGACTCTATTCGGTTGGAAGAACTGAAGATGTAGGGCTAACAAGTTTCCTCCCTCGATTGGGACTTCGGAGGGGAAGAACATGAAGCCGCGAAGGAGCCGCTTTGCGGGAACAAGCAGGATCGATTCTGGAGCCAGAATGAGGAGGAATAAATATAGGAAGTACTCTATAGTCACCGGGCAACACACACTAGGGAGAAACAGCAAATATTATTACTCTCAAAACCCTCTGGAGAGTTGAAGAATTGCAGACACTAACTCACACCTAACATCCGGAACCACAGTACAGAAACAAAGATCTCTCATTTAAATAATACCTCTTCTTTTTAACTTTTTAAAAATATTTATTTATTCTTGAAGGATAGAGAGACAGAGCCCGCGTAGGGGAGGGGCAGAGGGGGAGACACAGAACCTGAAGAAGGCTCCAGGCCCCCAGCTGTCAGCAGAGCCCGACGCGGGGCTGGAACCCACAAGCCGAGAGATCATGACCTGAGCTTAACCGACGGAGCCCCCCGGCGCCCCCTAAAGAACACCTCTTCTCAGCTCTGCATACACACTGCCCACCTCCACCAGAGCATTTGTCGAGCTGTACTACTTCTGTCCTGAAGACCACAGGGGGCACAGATTTCCGGGAAGGCTTTGCACAGGAGATGCTGCCTAAACTGGCAGGTGAGAATGGGTAGGCGGAGCGAGGACAGCAGCTGCAGGTGGGGGGATGGGAAGAGCTGAACACAGAGAAGGGTCTACACTGCTAAGCTGGGATTTTATAAAAGCAGCAGATGCACGTTTAGCCCAACTTCGTCTGGGACTGATATTTACACACTCTTGTCCACAGAGAATCTCAGTTTGGCCATTAGAACCACTTCTGCCTGCGCCTCAGCCTTCTGCCTTGGAGCAGAACAAAACCCCCTTGAAAAGAAAAGCCTGAAGCCTGTCAGGCTTGAAGCCTGAAGCTCAAGGGCCCAGCTTTGCATCCCCCCGGCGGGGGGGGGGGGGGGGGGGAGTCATCCCCGGGACATATCAGAGCCTCCACTTTATTTAAGTGACGGAGCATCGGGCTGGAATCTGGGTTTCTCAGTCCACAACCTCACTCACCCTGGCTCTCCCTTTGTGCCTTTGTGGACTTGACCTCTAACTGTAACTGCCTTGGCCTCATTCCGTGGGTGGGGATTCGCCTCCTTCAAATGCGTTTTCCAGCCCGCCAAATTCTTGTGAGAGTTTGTTTCGCTCTCCAGGCACTGAGAGCTGCAAAGTTAAATCTGGCTTTTCCAGATTTTTTTTTTTCTTCCCAATCCTAACGGAAGAAATCAAGAAGCGCCGGGCAGAGGGGCTCGGCTCCCTCCAATCAAAGCCTGCTCTAGCGCCGGGAGCAGGAAATGCCCGGTCTCACTTGCACGGTCCCTAGGCGCGGTCCCTAGGCGGGCGCGGTGACAGCCTCGTGCTCCCCCGGGACCCGCCGGCGAGAGGGGTGGGTTCCCCAAGTGCAGCCCTGCGACACCACTCCCCATTTCTGCTCATTTGGTGAGGGGGGGAAAGGCAATCAAAGAGGGAGTCAGCTGTCCTACCCGGGCCAGCTGTGCCGCACGCACGACCTCTACACCCCACCCGCGGGTGCCCTCACCACACAGACCACCACACATACCCTCACAGGGCTGCGATCACAGCCCTTCCAGCCCCGAGGTGGGGCACGGGACAGGCGCACTCTCCCAGCTCGCAGGGGGGCCGGGACACCAGGAGTGCGGGTCCACAAAGGGCCTCCCGTGGGTAACACACATTCACTTAACCAGTCGTGGGGGTAGGGGCGAGAGAAAGAGCCCCTCACTCTCAGGGGGACCGGGGCCTCCGGGGCTCACAGTCCAGGCGATCATCCTCAGGGAGACACACTATGCCGGCCACACCAGGCGGAGGGATGTTCCCAACTCCCCAGCTCAAGGGCCCACGCAGACCCGCCATGACAGACACAATGAACCGGCCACACCGCAGAGGGAGACAGAACCCGCTCTGAGAGGTCAGAACCCCTGGCGCATCCACGCCGGGGCTTCGCAGGGTCGCAGCAGGCGCAGAGTCCCCTGGGTGCCACCCAAGGCAGAGACAGTGCTCGCAGCCTGGACGCGTGGCCGCGGGGCCAGTCCCGGTCTTCGACCTACTAGGCTCAGGCGGGCAGCGGCCACCTCGGGCTGCGACCCCGCAGCGCTGCGCTTGGACCTGCTACACCCGGCCCCGGGGACCTCTGCCACGCGGGACTCCGGCCGACCCCGGACCCCCGCGCGGCCCTGAAACCCGGGTCCGATCGACGGACCCCCTCCCCCCCGCCCGGAGGAGGACCTCGCCCAGTCCCGGACCCCCGCCGGCCCGGAACCCTTCCCACCTGGGACCGCCGCCAGGCCAGCCCCGCCGCTCCGCCCCGAGGCCCCCGTGCAGCCCCCGGCCTCCCACCGGCCCCGGACCCTCGCTCAGCCCCGGAACCTCTACCTGTCCCGGGCTTGGTCGGACCCCGGGACCCCCCGCCCAGCCCCGAGACCGCCGTCCAGCCCCTGTACCCCACCGGCCCCGTACCCTCGCTCAGCCCCGGAACCCCTGCCCGCCGCGGACGCCGTCCGGCCCCGGAACCCCCGCCCTGCCCCGAGACCCCAGTCCGGCCCTGGACCCTCGCCCAGCCCCGGAACCCCTGACCGCCGGGGACGCCGTCCGGCCCCGGAACCCCCGCCCTGCCCCGAGACCCCCGCCCGGTCCTGGACCCTCGCCCAGCCCCGGAACCCCTATCCGTCCCGCGCTAGATCCGACCCCGGGACCCTCGCCCGGCCCCGAGACTCCCGTCCAGCCCCGGAACCCCTGCCCGCTCCGGACGCCGTCCGGCCCTGGAACCCCCCGCCCGGCCCTGGACCCTCGCCCAGCCCCGGAACCCCTATCTGTCCCGCGCTAAGTCCGACCCCGGGACGCCCGTCCAGCCCCGGCACCCCTGCCCGCCCCGGCCTCGGGTCGGGCCGGCCCCGCCGACGCCGCCTCACCTCAGGCCACCGCCTCAGCGGCGCTCGCTCCGGGCCGAGCGGAACAGAGCCGAGCAGCCCGCTGAGCTTCGGCCGCCGCAACAATGGAGCCCCGGGGCGGGGCCGCCTGAGCCGCCGCCTCAGCCCGTCTCCGGCTCGGGATCGGGCTCCGCGCGGAGCAGCAGCCGGCGGCAGGCTGCGGCCAGCCTCGAGCACCGCGCAGGCGCACTCGCCCCACCCGCTCCCCTTCGCCCCGCCCCCCGACCAATGGGGAGGAAGCCACGCGCAGGGGGCGGGGCCGAAGGAAACAAAGGAGGGGGCGGGGCCGCTCCGGGGCGGGGCTGCGGGGTCCGGCCGGAGTCGGACCGGTGAATCCGCGGTGCGGTCCGCTCGGAGTAGGCCTGGGCCTGGCGGGATGTGCTCGGCCGAAACCCAACACTCAGGCTTGTAGGGTTGGCCTGCCTTACAGAAGGGGAAACTGAGGCCCAGGGAGCGAGACCACCTGCCGCCCCGAGTCACATAGCCCCATTCACTCATTCATCTTTTATTCATTCGACAAACGTTTCGCAGCAAAGAAGCTGCGCCTTAGGAGTGGCACGGAGGCAAACTTGGCCCTCCCCTGCCAGGCCAGAGATTTCTGGGGTCCCTTTAACGCAATGTCGAAGAGCCAGGAACAGAGCTGTTATCCTTTCCTGCCTCAAAGCTTCTGTGGTTTTGCTATTTTGGACCCGAAATACTCTCCTTCCCCCGCCCCCACCCCTACCCCACCACCACCCCCATCATCCCCGCGGTATTCAAGCACGGATAGTCTGTAAAACCTCTGTCCTCATCGTCGTATTCCATCTTTTGGCATCGTCTGCCCCGCCTTCTGGGTTTTTCTCTAACTCAGTAGCTGCTGCTCCTCACGTCTCCGGGGCCCACGCCCGGCTCTGCCCGATCCCGACCTCTCAGGGTGTCAGGACGGCCCGTGGCTCGGGACACATGCCCTTCTGGTCGCCGTGGACTCTCTTCCAGAAAATGTCATGCTCTTCCAGGCTGACCTCTCCCAGACCCCCAGGCTGGATGACCACAAAGCATCTCAAACTTCCCCCCGCTAAAACAAGCGCTTTATTCAACACCCCGCCCCCTTCCAGGGCCTTTCCATCCACACAGTCGCTGGAGCTGAAATCTGAAATCTGCAATCACCGTTGAGTGTCTCATTGCCCTCACTCCCTCACACGGTCCCTCGCTGCATTGCCACTCGGTCACAGCACCAGCTGGCCTTGCCTGAGTGGGCCCCCCTCCCCCCCACCCTCAGTGATGTGTGACCTCCAGGACAGGCAGGAGGCTGGCTCTGATTGATTTCTGCGCTCACAACAGAACCCCAGTGCCCTGAGGCACTCAGGGAAGGCGAATAGAATAGATGGATACATGGATATGGTCCCAGCTCCTTGTGATGAGGTTTTGGGGTGACGGTGGGGGGTCCCAGAGCCGACGACCAAGAAAGAATTCTCAAAGACGTCTTTGGTGCTAAAAGGGGATTTTATTAAAGGACGGGGACAGGGCCCTTGGGCAGAAAGAGCTGCGCTGGGGTTATGCAGAATGGCTGGTTTTATACCACGGAGTTGGGGAGGTCAAGTCAAAAGGGAGGCCCCCAGAGGGACTTTGATATGCTAACGAGGACTCCTAAGATACCTGAGGCCTTGCTATTGTCAAGCTAAGATCGTTGTTTTCCCTCTACTAAGGCATTATCATTACGACCGGAGGGGGTTCCTGGAGAAATGAAATACTCTGCATTTGCCTCAAGTATTTATTTGTCAATGGGCTGCAGGTTATAAATAAATTTAATTTTACCTGCCGTTTCCTTCTGCCTTTGTTCCCCACATCACTATGGATGTTGAGGCTCCAGGAAACGGAGTCTATAAGTGTCTGGAGATTGGGCTGTGGATGAGAGTGCCTTTTTCTTGTAATTCACGAAGATATTTCCCAACTAAGATCTTCGTAAACCCATGTCCTGTAGGATTGTGAGCTCTATCCGTTGGCCATTTGTTTTCTTTCCTTTCCTTTGTCCTTGGGCGGCCCGGAGCGCCTGAGGAATATCACACACCTCCCACTGGGGGCGGGGGTGCACTGGCTAGCACTCTGTCCTCAGCCCTCCTCAAGCATGCAGAAACACACTCACGCACACACACAACCGCACACACGGACACTACTGAAAGCCTTACTTCCAAGCCGATTTGCCAGACCAATTCCTCCGTGAATATAAGAAGCCTCCCTGCTCCTCTCCAGCCTGGGTCCCATAGTGGCCTCAGGATGTCCTCCAAGAACAGGGAAATAAAATCTCTGGGCGTAAAGTAGTCACAACAAAGGACGGCCCCTCCAGGGCTTCAGACCTTTGCACACGCTGCGCTCTGCCTGACACACTTTTCTCCCTGTATTAGCCAACTCCGAGTGACCCTTCCAGTCTCTCCCTAAATGTCACTTTCCCCGGGATGGTAAGTACAACCATACCTTAAGGTGACCTCCAATGAGTCACACGGAGTATGATCCCCTGCCCTGAGGGCAGGAGAGACTGTGACAGCTTCTAGCCAATACAGTGTGGCCAGCACGATGGGGCGTCACTCCCACGGTAACATATTACTCATCTGCACAGACTACAGAGTGAGGGTATACTTGCAGGCTTTGAAGACGCCACCTGCCACACTGCGTGAGGTGGCCTTGGGGGAAGCCCACCTGGCCAATACTCTGTAAGACCTGAGGACACTCCAGCCAACAGCCAACAAAAAGCCAAGCCCCCTATCATGCAGGCCCGCAGAAATAAATGCAGGAATCAACCTGCATGAGCTTGGATGTGGGTTTTCCCCGAGTGAAGCCTCCACGTGAGAATGCAACCCAGCCAAAACGTTACATGAAGCCTGGTGAGCCCTGAGCAGAGGACCAGCTACAGCGTGCCAAACTCTAACTCACAGAAACTGAGTTATGAAATGTGTGCATGGTGGGGGCGCCTGGGTGGCTTGGAGTGACCGACTTTGGCTCAGATCGTGATCTCACGGCTCGTGAGTTTGAGCCCCACGTTGGGCTCTGTGCTGACAGCTCAGAGCCTGGAGCCTGCTTCGGATTATGTGTCTCCCTCTCTCTCTGCCCCTCTAAACATTTAAAAAAAAAAAAAAATTTTTTTAAAAGAAAAAGAAATGTGTGCATGGTGGGGGCACCTGGGTGGCTCAATGGGTTGAGCATCCAGCTCCTGATCTCAGCTCAGGTCATTATCTCACGGTTCAGGGGATCGAATCCTGTGTCAGACTGTGCTGACAGCATGGAACCTGCTTGGGATTCTCTCTCTCCCTCTGTCTCTCTGCCCCTCCTCTGCTTGCTTGCTCTGTCTCAAAAAAAAAGGAAATACATGGGTTTTTTTTTTAAAAGGATGCGTTAGCAGCTTTTTAAAAATTTATTTTTAAGATGTATTCATTTTTGAGAGACAAAGAATGCGAGTGGGGGAGGGGCAGAGAGAGAGAGAGAGGGAGACACAGAATCTGAAGCAGCTCCAGGCTCTGAGATGTCAGCACAGAGCCTAATATGGGGCCCGAACTCATGGACCATGAGATCATGACCTGGGCTAAAGTCAGATGCTTAACCAACTGAGCCACCCAGGTGCCCCAGAAATAATTTGTTTAATAGTTAAAGAAAAGAAAAGAAAGAAACGTGTGCATTGTGTTAAGCTTCTACATCTGTGATAATTTCTTATGAAACAACAAAAAACTAACAGCAAGTCCCAACCCCAGTCTCCAGTACACACATTCACAGCAGCCTTACTTCTTTCTGGTATTCATCACGGTTAAGGTATTTGTTTAAAGCCTCTCTCTCGCCCCTAGCATTGAAAGCCCCATGAGAACGGGAATGGAATTGTCTCGCTCCCCACTGTGCTCCAAATGCCCAGCAGTCTGGTTGTAGGGCCGTTGGCTGGGGAGATGCATCGGTCAGCTTGCTGGCTGGCCCTACTGTGCCTTCCTACCCCTTTTCCTTGGCCATACTCCATCATACAGACCTGAATAGTGTCTTGTCTTCTGAGCCTCCCTCACAGCCTGAGGTGACCATGTGACATTGTCCTGGCCAGCGAGACCTGGTGGAAGTTGGCAGAAAGGTTCCTCGCAGTGGTGCCCTGGGGCCAATTTGGAGCAGACCTTGAGAGCTGATTGTTCATTGTTTAGGAATTTGGCAAAGTCACTTATTAAACCAAGCCGCTACTCAAAAATTAAATTATATAAACTTACAATTCAAAGTGGTATCAAAATCAAAGATCAATAAATATTCGAAATCCACTCCTATTTTACTGCGGTTTATGATTATCTGTGCTACTGAGGATTTTATATCTACCGTATGACAGAAATTCTATATGATGTAGTGCTACTGTCATCTCTTCTCATGGCTGCAGCCAGCAATGTCCATTGGTGGCTTGAAATTAGATACGGCAGGAGGCTTTATGCCACAGAAATTGGTAATGACTATAGATCAGGACTATCTTCCTTCTTCCCATCCCCCCCAGAAAGCTGGTGAGTATGGATTCACCAGCGCACCATTCCTCTCCAGGGAAGGTGCTCCTCTTTGAGAAAAGGAATAGACACAGCTGGTGCTGCTTTTTCTCAGCAGCGGAGATCATTACCTTTGGACACACATGTGGTACCTGGACCCACAGCAGCCACTTGACGATGACGAGCAAAGTCGGAATTGGAGAGATCCCGACGCTTCGGCCCTGGAGTCACTGAATCAAGACAAGGAATCGCCTACCTCCAGGAAAAGCAGTTCCCCTCTCTGTGTAAGCCAGGGCTAGCCAATTTTTCAGTTACTTACAGAATTATTATTTTTTTAATGTTGTATTTATTTCTGAGAGAGAGAGAGAGAGACAGCAAGAGCAGGGGCAGGTCAGAGAGAGAGGGAGACACAGAATCCAAAGACAGGCTCCAGGCTCTGAGCTGTCAGCACAGAGTGCAATGCGGGGCTCGAACCCACGAACCGTGACATCATGACCTGAGCCAAAGCCAGACGCTTAACCGACTGAGCCACCCAGGCGCCCCTGCTTACAGAATTCTTAACTGACATATATAGCGTTCAACAAATGTCCGTCACATGGAGCAACTCAGCCCCATCTCCTTCCTCGTTAGCGGCCCCATGATC